TGAGCTTATCATCACTCATTCATTGGGGTTTTTATTAAATCAAATCCCTGCTGCCCAACTCAAAAGCATTTTGTGTTCAGTTTGCAATCTACATTCCCCAGCCTTCAATGCTTTAGTTGATTTCATTTTTAAGCAACAACACACACAGCAGGTTCTCTGGGTAAATCAGTTTTACATGATTTATATGAATAAAGGTGGCAAACAACCATGTCTCTTAACAGTGCTCTGTGAGCACTTGAAGAAGGAAAATATTTCCTCAAACATATTCTATCACTTTTCACATATGAAACTATATGTCAGAACACGTGGATGGGTTTCTGACACTAGGTGACGGGAATAAACCATCGGCTCCAGGATGCCAACACCAGAACCAAAGATTTATTGCTCTTCCATTTTTCTTTTTGTCTTTCTTTTCTTTGTGGCTTCATCCTGCTCAGTATTAACTTTACTTGTTTCCTTTTATTTGACTTCCTAGAAGACACCTCAATGGTCCAAAGTCAATATTAGCCTTAGATAACAAAAGCAAAAGTAGAAAACAAATGATCACTTTGGGAGAGACTGCAAGTAATCAAAACAGTCTATTTTCATAGCCAGCCTTTCAGAATTGAGGCAAAGATCAAACTGTAAAAGCAGTACCATTCCTTCCTGCTCAGCCATCTCAGAGAACAACACTGACCAGAGGGGAATTTTTCCCTTACATTTCAAATTCTAGAATGCTTTGCCAGGATTGTTGTAGGAAACCTCTGCAGAGACTGCAAATATGCAGACAGGATTCTGGAAAAATAAATGTCTCTTTTCTTTCTTAAAAGATAATGTAACTACTACATCATTTTTCCATAAGACAAAAGCTTACAAACTGCTTGGCCAACTTTCCATATTACAAGCTATGACTATCAACTCTTCCTGAAAAAGTAGATTTCAAGTACCACTTCTATAGCACCCATTTGCTGGGGGAAAAAAATGTGCTTAACACTAATGACAGCTGCTTAGTTCAACTCAGCCACCAATTAAACACTCTTTTTTCATTACCTTGTCCTGAAAAGCAGAGCAGGTACAGCAGGTTATCAAGGTGGCCCTAAGCAATCTTCTTTTGAGCTTTTAAACCGTGGGGTTCTTATCTTTGTTCTGCAGTTAAAGCTCCAGGATACTTCCTGCTGTTATTGCTGCAAGTATAATTTACTCTATTTACACAACTTGTAGCAACACACTCCAAAACAGCAGTAAGATTCCATCTCACACTATTAATGGCACTTTCAGCTACTTTATTCAGCAATCCTGAAGTTGCAAAGCGGAGAAGTGAGTTGCTACTTATGTGTTCAGTAGAAGAGTGAGCTTCTCCTCTTTCCCATTCTAGCACCACAGGAAGGTTTTCCTTCCTAGCAAAAATAGCAAGCTCCAAGGGAGCCTACACAACTCCAACATGTAAACAATCACTGCTAAAAGAAACTGATTTAAACCCCCCATTCAGGAAATTCAGTCCTGTCATTCTGTGTCTAAAAGCATCCCATCGGAGCTGTACAGCAAATATGATATGCATTACCATTTGATCTCTAGGAAGCCTTGAGACACCAGCAATTGCAGGAGTTACACAAAACACAGATTGCACTTCAGATCCCCCAAGCCAGAGGCAGGAGGAATGGAATATCAATGCAGGGGCTCATTTGCAGCAGTATAGCCTTTTTGTGGTATGAAGAACACTATTGCCTTTTTAATAACAGAAACACTGGCTCTAAAATATAAACAGTAATAAAAAATGGAGAGCAGCTCAAGAATGGAAAAATGAGACAAAATAAATTTAGTCTCTTTAATTAAGCCATATGCCATTTGGAAAGCATTGTTACCAGTGTGTTGGTATACCATATGTGCTGGCTTAGGCTGGGGTGGAGTTAATTTTCTTCACAGTAGCTGCTATGGAGCTGTGTTTCAAATCTGTGCTAGAAACAGGGATGTTTAGTGACTGCTGAGCAGTGCTTACACAGAAACAAGGACTTTTCTTCTCCTCACCCCATCGGTGAGTTGGCTGGGCATATACAAGGATTTGGGAGGGGACACAGCCAGGACAGCCGACCCCAACTAAGTCAAGGGATATTCCATACGATACGGCATCATGCTCAGCATATAGAGCTGGGGGAAGGAGGAGGAAAGGAGAATATTCAGAGTGATGGTGTTTGTCCTCCCAGGTGATTGTTACCTGTGATGGATCCCTGCTGTACTGGAGACGGCTGAACACTTGCCAGACCATGGGAAGTGGCGAATGAATTCCTTTTTTACTTTGCTTGTGTGTGCAGCTTTTGCTTTACTTACAGAACTGTCTTTATCTCAACCCATGTGTTTTCTTACTTTCATCCTTCCCATTCTCTCCCCATCCAGAGGAGGCAGTGAGCAAGTGACTGTGAGGGTCTGAGTTGCCACTGGGGTTAAACCGTAACAGCAAAACTTTCCATGCTCGGTAAACTAAAGGACACTGAAAAGCAGCTGGGTTAGATTTGTCTCCAGTTTTTATTCCAGGAGAGACCTTACAAAGCAAACTGCTCCCTTGTGATACTTTGTCCATGCTTGGTTTGTTTTCTGAAGTTCTGCTCATAGACTGCTACAATAGCAATTAGCTCCTGCTTCACTACCAAGCATCTCCTTTCACCAAATAGAAACTGGTGACTATTTGTCACCTTGCAAGACAAACAGGAGCTGGCAAGTGTCTACCACACTCACTAAGCAATGAGGGAAAGGTACCATCAGTGGGAATAAAAACCTAGAAAACTACAGTGAAAGGACTGAAAGAACAATCAGTTTACAAAAACCCTATCTAGGTACCCTTCTGCCTGTGTTTAAGAGTTCAGTGACAACCAGACACACATGCAGTGTACAAAGACTCAATACCAGCCATTTAGGGAATGTTTAATACAACACTCAAACCTCTTCTGCTACACTGAATTTTGCACAGGTAAACCAGGACTGTGTGATTTTCCATTGCTATAAAACTAAATTCAGATGACAGCTTCTGAGGATGTTTTCTTAAGCATCTACCAAATCATTCATTTTAATGGAGAAAATGAAATCAAAGCTTCTTAGGGTAGGCAAAAAGTATTTTGTCTTTGTTCTGTACATTGCTCTATACACACATAACCAACAACTTCATAAATCAAACATAGTGCTGTCAGTACTGAAGACACATTTCAACTAAGGCCAAAAGAACTGGCTGAAAATAACAATAGAAAGCTGAATAAGAGCTGGGCTCCATCACTAGAGGGAGTTGTGATCACATATTAAGTTACTGTAATATGCAGGCCATTCTGACCACAATTATGAAACAAATAAAAGACCATCAGCTAAATCTGGGAAAGATTCAGGGAAAAGAGAAAATTAGATTTGTTTCCTTAACAAGGTTTTATTCCCAAAGACCTTCTCTTGGGAACTTTCAAATCATCTGTAATGAAAGGCTTTTAAAAATGTATCTTATTGCCTCCGTTTTCAGACAGAATAAGGTATGTGACAGGAGAGAGCCAAAATTATCAGTTTCAGAAATTACAGCACTGCATCAAGAGAACTTTAATTGAAGCAACTTTACAGCCCGTTTCACTTCAAATCAAAAAGTAATCTTAATCATGTTTTTATTTTTCAACTAAATTGGCACAATTACAGCAAGCACAAACAGGCACTACCAAAACACGGCTTCTGCAACAGATGATTCCCTTTGGCCATTAATACATTTAGAGAAAGCATTTCTCTGACAGGCTGTGAGAAGCAGCCTAAAACCAAATATAAATCAGGAACTCAAGCATAACTATCATTCTTTCATTCGATCATTTCATCAACTGTGGCTTTGAGGGTTTGCTTGGTTTATTTTTAATATATGAAATGTCTTTTTTATACTGGTGAGGTATTTTTCACCCTTTTAAAGTTCTTAGCAGAAACCACAGACCAATTTGGCTGGCTGCACTCACAGGAATTTACACTTGGCTCAAACAATTTTGCAACTGAACAGTTTCATTAAGAGCAGCAGCACGCACAAAGCTTTTTAAGACCCAGCTTGAATCCTGCCCATCACTAGTAAGGCAGAGCCCATACCAGGATCACCTCTTGAACCAAGATCTACCACATACCTCAAGAGACATTAGCAAATGCAGCCCAAGGCAAACTAGGAGTGCTTGTCCAGTGCTCACTTAGTAGTTGACTGATTTACATTCAATACATTTACACCAAATTATCCACACTTCTATTGCTCAGACAACTCAGTGAACAACCTGGCAATGCAAACAGTCCAAGAGCCTTTTTAAAAGAGTTATTGTTTTTAACAGGGACAATGGGATCCTAATGTAAGGAAATAAAACCAGTGAGGGAAGCAAGAGTATGTGCACCAAGAATGAGAAGCACTTTCTGGCACTCTACGGAACTATGTTAAGAAATGCTACGAGCATCCAGTGCAGTCTGGAAAGTTAAGCTCTGGCATTTCCCCTATCAAATACTCCTCCACCAGGGCAAAGGCTTAAACAGCCTCTAGCTTCAAATACAGATCTCCCCCTATAAACAGACTGCTCCTCCCAAAGCCTAGTATACTCTGCCACCAAAACTGCAAACAAGGCTTTTCCACTACCATCTACACAAACTAGTCCTCTAGGTAGTCAAATCACAGTGCTCAGATCTCTTATTCCCCTATCCATACAGATGGCTACTTCGCACATTTTGCTTTGACATTCCCTTTCAGGATGAAGTGGTCTGGGAAAGAAGCTCACTTCCCCTTATGGTGAACACTTTAGCTCATAAAATCAAGCTGGATAAACTCTTCACTGCATCCACCCACAGTCCTTCATCTTTTCCTTCCTGCAAGGACTTAAGTAAGCAATAAACTCTTCATCAACATGAGAAAGAATAGCATAGAGGGCTCCATAGAACAGCAAGGAAATCTGAAGAGCAGTTCTCTCAGTTTGCAGTCCTACTTTTCTTTCTATCCTATTTAATATAGCAATGTTTTGCTAGCAGCATCCATTACTGGTATCACCCACCTGCTCGTGATGGTAGAGTTCTGCTCTTTCAGCACAAGTTCCCTTTGCTGCAGGGCCACAATTTGCCTGGAGAGATCATCCGGTGTCCTACGCAATTAAAACAAAACAGAAACTTTTAACAAATCATTGGTTGAAAAACCTGTGTTCCATACATAACCACAAAAAAGTTTCACCAAAAGGAGACAAGGCAATTTCATCAGCCCAAAGTTGCTGCAGCCCCTCAAAGCAACAGAGTTGCACCCTGCTTAAGTAAAAGCCTGCTTAAATTTTAAAGCCATTGCTGTAATCACCATCCAAGTCACATCATCTCACTACTGTGCACTTCAACCCATAAACCAACTCTTAAAGCCAGAGGCAGCAAGACCAAATCTGCAAAGCAAGCAGCCTGCACAAACATTCATAGCAGATGACCAGACAGCTTATTGCTTGAACACATACTACTTGTTTTTAACACACATACAAAGGGGTGTTCATCTCCTCCTCCCCATCCTAGTGCTCAGCACAAACACACAGGGGTGAGCACACCCAGAGTTACTCTAATTGCTGTTCAACTACAGAGTCTCAGTGGAGCATGATCACAGGATTATTACCAACAGGGTAAGAAAAGGAGGAAATGTATATATAGACTGCACAATTCAACAACTCTGGCTACTGCTGAACACTCTCTGATAGCACAGAGGTTCAGCTATATCGCAGGTGACTCAAAGCAGTGTGCCCACACAACTACCAACATGCTGAGTTCAGCGGCCTTCATATAAGACATGACTCCAGAGCCATGGGGGGAAAACATCAGTAATAATCCATCAGCTGCTGGTAACATTTCAGATCCCACTCTGATAACCTTTTCCTGTCAAAGAGATCAAAGATTGCTACAGATCAGCTAGCAACAGCTCTGCAGTTGTCAGGAATAAGTTTGCTTTTCCATCAAATCCAGTGACAAATTCTGAAAGCTAGTGGAGTGGGATCAAGCAAGTTTTGCAGGAGTGAAATCTGTAGAAACTCATTCTGTCATGTCCCCCAAGATGCAAGTCAAGGCTTCACTGTTGATGGCAGATGAAATTAAGTCAGATCAGATTTACAGTATTCAAATGCAACCCTGCAACAAGGCTCCTGCCACTCCAAAAACTGAACACGTAGATAGATGTGCCTCCAGCTTGACCATTAGGACTCTGAGTAAACGTAGGACTAAAGATGGTATTTCTGTGATGATGCCACTTTTCCGCCAAATATGCACATACAGAAAGCCACCACTTTTTCCTCTTTGTCACTTCCAGCCAGGTGAAAAATCGCTTAAACACTGACCTGATGCAGACAGTCAGGGTTCAATTCTGGAAATCCAAGTTCAAAGGTTCCTTGGTTTTGCTCTCAGAACTGCACACTGATAGCCTTCCTCAGCAAATTGTGAAGCCTCTAATACCCATTTGTGTTACATGTAAGTTTTAACATTTATATATTATAAAACAGATGGATGTGGTCTCCCCTCAGGCAATGGAGACACATACTGCAGCAGTCAGAGACCTGTCAGAACAGCATGAAACATTATCCCTTCAAAGACATCACACTTGATGGCCAAGGAAACCATGAGAAGAAACCAAGACACCAACCTGAAGATGGCTTGACTAAACCATCTAAACTTCACGTTCTGGTAACAGACACAAGACAATTTTAAACCAACACCTGGGTTTTCAAGTATGTTGCAGTACCAGATAACACACTTCAAACTCCTGAAGCTGAGCCTGAAGGGATTTTTAATGTAAGCAGTTCCCCATGTTTTTAGTGAGGGTTACTCCATGGCTGAGCATTAGAACAAACACTGAAAAACTAATTCAGCCCAGCCCGATGCAAGCCACATCTCCATATAACCCAAGAGCAAGGGAAAAACAACACTGGATTCTTGGAATCTCAGCTCTGAAGAGCTCAAATCTAGCACCGGTCTAATTTAATAATCCAGATGATGGAAGATGGTTGGTTTCTCATGCTCTATGATGTCTGCAGCGGGGGGAATGAACAGCAAAAAACCTAGAAGAGGAGTCTATAAAGCTAAAATCGGATTTCAACATTGGCTCTATCTGCAGGAAGAAGACCTCTGACTCAAGATTTTTTCCATAAATTAAAGAAACAGATGTTCTCTTTCACAGTAGTTTCTAACCAGAAATATCTAGACATAAGGGAAGGAGAACACAAGGATAAAGGCAACTTTGTATTAGTTTTGATGAGGGGCAAAAAAATCACCATGTTAACCTTTCCTCTTTATCCTCCTTCACTTACTGGAGTAATCAGAAGCTAAAAACCAGAAAACATTAGACAGAAATGGATGGGGTATGCTCAGTCTGCTTGGCAAAAAGCAGCTGTAAGCAGACACACCAGTTTCAGTAGAGACAACCTCTGTAAAATCTAATGCCAGTCAATAAGGCTCTGAAAACTGCCATTCCAAACCTCTCATAATACATCCAAATACAGCAGATTTATCACAAGGATAGTTGGTATCAGGCATCTCTCTGGCCATGTGGAGTGCCAGTCCCCAACCCCAGTGTTTGGTCCCTGAAATATGAAAATGAAGTGTTTGGTCAATGAAATAATTGCACAGATACTTTTTAAATGGGGCGGGGAAAAGAAGTATATTTGCCTTGATTTTCTTTTCTCATTTTCTCAGAAATTCCTACCATAAGGTACTAGGAATGAGATAGAGAACTGAAATTAACCCAATAGGAAAAAGAGAGGATTCTAAAAGCCACAGATTTGTAGTAATGATAGCTACTGACAGATTTCCAATGAAAACCACTCGCGCTCATCTGTTCAGCAATTCAAATCAATAAGCAGCTTCCAATCTCAGTTCCAGCAATTGGCAGGTTCAGGTTTATACTTAGTTCTGGAGGATGTGTCATTGCCATTAGAAACTATTCTCTTTAAAAAAGTGGAGCAGCACAGATACAGAACAGAAAATGAAGTCAAAGGCTATTCACCCCCTCTACAGAAGAGTTCACTTTCTGTAAAACTAAATCATACCAAATGATCAAAGACACCTCTTGCATGCACCCTGCTGTTAAACCTGAGAGGTTTCAAAGCCTATTTATGAGGTCTACATCCTATCCTGATCACAGACGATTCGGCAAAAGCCGGTTTAACACAGTTCAAGTAAAGGAATGACACTGCTTGCATGATGAAATTAAAGCAGACAAGCTTTCAGTTTGAAGAGAACTGATCAACTCCAAAGCACTGCAAGCACCAAGCACCCTTCATCACTGTAATACACTCCTGTTTCTCAAGTTTCTGAGAACAATGCTGCATAAAGAGAGAAATGGCAGCACCCCAACGCACACGTAACATGTTCTGGCCTTGAAAGTCACTGTCTGATGGGCTAGCTGAATACCATTTTTGCTAAAGCTCTGTTCGTTCCCCATGGAAGACTTGCTATCAAAGCCAGCATGAAAAAGAGAAGCAGTCTGCTTCAGGAGAATCTGTATGACATTACATCTTACCAGTACTACTTGAATAGCCACAGCTACATAAAGGAAGTTTGAAACTCTATCCTTACCTAAACATACCTGTTTGAAAAGCTGCTGCTTTGTGTACTATGCTTCCCCTGCAAACCCGCAAACGTCTTCCTTCCCCATGTCTCATCCCTGGCAGTGCTCAAGGCCAGGCTGGACAGGGCTTGGAGCAACCTGATCTCGTGGAAGGTGTCCCTGCTCATGGAATTAGATGAGCTTTAACATCCCTTCCAAACCAAACTACAGCATGAGTCTATGATTCCATGTAACACTGGAGATCATGAACCATGAAAAAAACCCCACACTTAAGTTTGCATAAGCCATGCAAAATCCTGTAAATGAAACACTTCCCAGTACGATTCAAGAGCAGCACGTTATTAAAACTGAATTACATGCTATGCCATTATAAAGATAACATGCAGAACAAAGTGGCTTCTAAACTGCAGGTGGAGATTAAATCCCTGACTTCAGTTCCTGGGTAAGGCACAAGGAGTCAAAAGCCAAATGCTCTTCCTCTGTGCACCAACCCATTCACAGACCACACTTCCTTCTGCAATAACACTGAAGAAACACTTAAAACCAACCAAACCAGGAAAATTTAAGCCTAATTGGGAAACAAGGGAGCAAGGGAAACAAGCAAGCTCCCTCAAGGAGCAAATTAGGCAGCATAGCTTAGCAGCACAGCAAGGCAGGAGAGGGACAAAACTGCTGTTAACCAGAGCATTTTGCCTTCCTTTGAAGTGCAGATAGTTTGAAAAGAAGCGATTTGAGAATGATAGAAGCCTAAAATTGTTAAAATGAAGTGAAAAATTGACTTAATGGGATGCCCATCCAAGTCATTCAGTGCCTTTCAGGCAGCCCTGGTACTCTTTTTTTAAGAGGGGAAATGGTTTACACAGTATTTTATGCCTTCATTTTTTTAATGCACACAGCTGACAGTTCACAGGCATTTGCAGAAAGTTCTGTTGGACTGTCTTGGTTCAGGTTCCATTATCGTTTCGATATAAACTAGCACAGTTACACACTGAGAATTAGCTGCTGAAGTACCATTAAGCCAAAACTCAGTAAGCAGATGAAGATGTTAAAGTAAAAACTGGAACATTTTTTAATTTATAATTTATTAGAATTAGTAAGCAATTTCTTACTGCTTCTATCAAGTGTTTCAAAATTCACAGCAAAGCAAGAGGTTTGATTGTAGCTGCATATCTGACATTAAACCGTGGAAGTACAAGATAAAAGCAAAACTACACAGAAATCCAGGCACTTGGTCAACACTTTGGAGGACTAAGTTCTTCAGTGCTTCTTTTAAAAGCTAAATTTGCTTGAAACTGCCAAACTAATAACACATTTATGGTACAAAGTTTTTGGAAGCCTGTTGGATTACTACTTCTCTCTATAGTTTTAACTCGGTATGAATACACGATGACACAGATTTGGTTGTCTCAACTAAGTCCTATTAAATTGAAATTGAACATTCCGAGTCATGGCACAGAATTTTAACTGGATCCAGAAACTCATTTACACTTAAGTATATTTAACTGACAAAGACCACATACAGACATCTTTAGTAAAGGGTTTGTTAAGAGAATCAGGCAG